TACTAGCTTAATTTCTTTTTATGGCTTCCTTTCCCTTTCCTTCATGTTTTTCCTTGATTGATTCAATTTTCGTGAATATTTTACCCCCAAAGATGTTTCTTCAAGTCTTTCATTAAATCCTTTATCTCTTCATGAATTCTAATATTTATTTCATGTGCATAATTGATTTGTTCTTGTTATTTGGGGGGGATTTAAAAATGTTTGAATACAATTTTTTGTGCATCTTTGTCATAATCATGTTATTTGGTGATTCTAAGCCTGGTATGATCTCCCATAAACATTAAACAATAGTAAAAGGATGAAAAATGATCAAAATTGGCATTTTTTTTTCTTTTTTATGTTTATCTTGCAATTTTATGTGTATTATTGGTTCTATTATGATATTTATTTGTATTAAGACTGGTATGCTCCCCTAAAAAGCTTACATCTTGGGGGAACGGCTGAATTCATAATCATGTTATAATTTGGTTGTAATTGGTGCAGCGACCCCCAAACTTCGTCCAATGGTTTCCGGGGCTCGACGTCCTATGGCCGCTCTGACAGTGTCCGTGGGAACGTCTTTTGGGGTCGCTGATTGAATCTATGGCGCGAACCCAGCCCCCTACAAACAAAAAAGAAGTTTTTCTTCCGCCATCAGGCGTTTCGTTACCGGTCTGTGTTCCGTTTGCGAAAACATTTGAACTTGGTTGCCTGCACCGACTGCCAGCTGACCGCAATCGTTGATTGAATGGAAAACCTTTGGTCCCCGGTTTGGATCTGGTTCCGCACACGTTGCTTTGCGGCCATGGTGTAGCTACGGAAGGCGGAAATGCTGCTTTAGGTCCCGTTGAAGTTTTAGCACCTGCGGTGGAGGTGCTAAACGGGGCTTCGGGAGCTAAATCTACCAAGTCAGCTGACCTCAACCAATACTCAATGAGTCGTTACCATCCTGTTTCTGGCAGTTTCGCAGCTCGATAGGGATGTTTGTTCAAAGAAACTCTGATGGTTGAACTGCTTCCCTTTTCTATTGTCTATTAATCCTGTCCACATTTTTGAATGGTTCATTAATCCTGAACCACGAGGAAATATGATTATTTTCATGTTGTCCGCGTGAGTGTCTCCACTTATCACCATGCCGAGCCTCATTGTGAGATACTCTCAACAAGAAGGGCTCTTGGGCGTTAGAATGGGTTTCTCCTGTGCCGTTTCATATCTCTCAATCTCTGATGATAAGGCACTTCATGAGTCTCCAACCACGACAAAATCCTCATGTGAGCTGGTGATGAATCCTACTCGGACTACAGAATTGCATGCTCAATAAGTCTCCGATTTCCATTCGTCGAGTTCCATGCGACAATATGAACAGTTGTCAAATCAACACCGAGGAATGTTAGGAGCTTAATGAAACCGGCCGGGGGTTTGGCGAAAAAGAACGATCCGCAAGAATCGTCTCGCTCGGCAAAACTGACATACATCGACTGGAAAGAAGTATTCTACCCAGGAAACATTTCCCTCCCTGGTTGAAGAATCGTCTTATTCGGTCCCCGAAAGATTCGGAACTGTCTTGGGTCTCAACAGTCGAGCTGAGAGGGTCATCTCGGGATGATGAGAATCTAATGGACGCTTTCTGCACGAACACTTTAAGTCAAACGCAGTGCAACGGGCTCACACGCACTGGATTTACTGCCGCCGTATCCGTAGGGATCTTCCAAGGATCCTTGGGCTTCTTCCTCGCCGCTTATCTTGCGCTTTTCTGTCCAACGTAAGTCACGCCCTGATGTCGCTTCTCTCTCCCCTCCCATTTGAAGCACAGAAGTACAGGAATACTCACCATACTGACCCATCCGACGAGTACTACCAGAAAGGAAAGTGCAGTCGCATGGATGTTGGCCGTGAACGGCATTCTGTTCTTGATCACTTCCTCTCTCGATACTGCGAGCAGATTCCATCAGGATAACCTAACGAAATTCATCATGATGGAGAAAGTCACAGGTGAAGCACCTATTCTAATATTTTGGGCAATAAAAGACAGAGAGAGAAAATAGCTCATGGGGGTGCGCTTTACAACTGCCACAGCTGGTCTGGGCCTCGTCGCTTTGATATTGTTATTTTCCTTTCATATCGTTTCCGTGGGCAACTTGGTCAAGCGTTATGATCGGAAGATGGCTCCGGTTGTTTCGATCCTCTTGGTTCCGTTAGCGGTGATCGCACTTGTCTTCAACATCATTGCATTGCGCTCTATTTCTTATGACGCACTACCCTCAGGGATCAGAGCTGGTGCCTCTAATGTTGCGAACTTTTTGAACCCTTCCACGAAAGCACTTGGCTCAATGTTGGCTTTCTTGGGTCTAGCAGCTTTGTCCCACATCCTGATCCACTACCTTCTAGCCCGACGCAAGTGCCTAGAAAAGAAGAAGAGAGAAGAAAGACGCAAAAAGGCCATCAGCAGCTTCTCCACCTCGACAGTTGATGATGGTAACGTTAACGGTACAAGCGAACTGCAATCGCCCTTGTGTCGTTGGTTTGATACACTCATACCTTCAATATTGCTGGCTATCATTAAAACCGCCCTCACTTTTTCCTCAGAGAACACTATCATCGCACGAAAGATCCTGGGGCTATTCGAATACATCACTTATCTCCTGGTAGTAGTATCTTGGTAAGCCCTTGATCATTCTTTCACATTATCGACGATGTTTATTGATTGTTCATCTTCCTACTGATCACCATCGCCCTCCTTCGATTGGCGTGTAGCCTGCCATCACCTCAAGCAGAAAAGGTCGAACATGACAACTTCTTTTGCCGGATTGCATCGAACCCATCTTACGTCCGCTCCACACCAAGCCCACAGCCTCTGATACCCCCAGAAATCCCGGCTGATCATACAAGCATGCGGGGAGCACCCAGGGTTGGTGTAGGCTCCTACAATTCGACCTCGGCTTTATTGGGCCGAGTGAAAGACACACCGCGAGGCAGCAACGCAGGATTATCCGCACCAAAAAATCAGCTCAACCGGACGAGCTACACAGGCCTCAGTGCAGTATCTTCATTGGCGCCAGAAGATTCAGCTTCCACGGCGGCCTTTCTTCCGCGACCACCCCCACCCCCGCCACACCTGCGTACGCGTACAACACATGGTCCCAATGGCTCAGAGCTGGCTCCCTTGCGGGAAGAGCTTCTGGAAAAATTCAATGGAGCCGGCGCACCGTCATGACGATCAAGGCTGATGCTCTATCAATTACACACTAATCCCGGGTGCATCCTTCTCGAAAGTCCGCTCGTGCGCTTCCATTTCCCTTCGGGATCTTGGCGGACTCCCGCCTCTCCAGTGCTGATTTTTCTTCGAGTAAATGGTCCACATGGCTTGTCTGACAGTGCTAAACGAAAGCTGAAATCACTGCTCCGTGGATACCTCATCTCGAGAATTCCACTCCATATTTCCCGGGCGGGATTTTTTTTTTTTTTTTCATTTGGTTTTAATTCTGTGAATCAATTGTTCTTTGTTTTTGTCTATTTCCATTGTTGGATAAGCTTTCGATGAATAATGATTTTGAGAAGATCAAGTCCTTACATACCGCCTTTTACAATATATGTATTCAAAATGACTCGATGGACTTTTTTTTGTTGGCTGTAATATTAACAAATCTTACAACATCCTGAGATGTTTCCAATTAGGTTGTCTTGTAATTACTCATTTTTTTTATCAGAATGCATGAATTGAATTGGATTCAATTAAGCTGAATCTAATTAAAATGAGCTCCATCTAATTGGATTGAGTTGAATCTAATTGAATTAAGCTAAATCATGATAGGCAAGCAGAAGGTGGAAATTTAGACAGGCACTGGAGTTCCAAGTTGGCCAATAAAATTTAAAAATGAATGTTTTATGGGTTTTATCCACCATGTTGTCCATATTGCCAAAAAAGTCAGATTGCCCTGGAGCCACCATTCTGGACAGGGAGTTATTTTTTTCCCAACAGGTTGGACCCAAAACATTGGCCACATATGTACCTCAACTGCCATCACTGGTTCCTAGCTGTTGAAATATTATCATCCACAGTGTCTTAAAAATATATTGGCCTGTGTGAAACTTAATTCTGTGAGCTTATGTATCCAAATGAGACCAATCCATACTTTCTATAATCAACACATCAAGCACAGACTTGGTAGCCTAGTTGGTAAAGGTAGCACTTCTAGTAAAGTGTCTTAGATTCTAACTAAGGCTTCTGGTTCAAAGCCTGCCCAAGTTGATATTTCTTGCTCAATGTCTGAAAAATGTGATGTTAATTTTCACGCTAGTCGCAGTCAAGCCATGGCAGATGTTTTGTCACCTGTCCATGGCTTGAGAATAATACCTGCATCCAAGACCCCCTCCTATCTCAACCAGAAGATACAAATCCATAAAATGATCACAAAACCAGATTCCATATTGTGTTTTGGACCAATGTTTTTGGCTATGATATAGAGAATTTCACCCATTTGCATGTTCAAGACCCATAATCACTTTGAATCAAAAGATTCTTCCTCCAAATCACATGCTTTCCAACCAAAAATCTTGTCAGCTGGCTACTATGTTAGAGCCAACTAACAAATATAATTATAAAATAAAAATACCATAAAAAATCTAAGTATAAAATAAAAATACCCAATAAAAATGTATATATCTCAAAGTTCCCCAAATTAATTAAAATTGATGTTGTGTGCACTTATAATTAATTTTGTGGCCACTTGTGACGCTCAGAAACCCCTGTTGAAGGTCTTCTGACGCCCCAAATGACGCATAAAGCATTAATTAAATGCATAAACAT